TGTACCTGGTAGCTGTGCGCTGAACGAATTGCTCGAGTAGCTGAAGATTAGTCTGGCCAGTAGATGAGCAATTTGAAGTTCAAGTGGACAAGGACGATGGCTGGTTAAATCGAATCTGGCTTCTGTTATGAAGCAAACGATGAAACGTCACGCCCTCGTCAGGTCTTGATGTCTTGATGAGCCGAGTTGCGAAGATAGCAATCCTTTCGCTTTATTAGGCGTACTACATGCTAGCATGTAGTATCGTCGCCACCGTAAGACCACTGAAATACACGTAGATTAGATCTAGTCTACTCCTACCGTAGAGTAAAACATTGTTGCTGAGGATTGCTGTTTGGAAGGGGATAGGGCCTCTAGAATTAGCCCTGCCTCAGAGCCGCTTTGGTAGTAGGGACTGTGGCAACGGGCTAGCTCTGGGCAGCTTGCCACAGCCTATTGATTCTGGATCTATCGATTGCTTATCCATCATGCTTACTATGCATACTCTACTTGCTGGGCGGAAAGCTGGTTTCAGGTTGTTCCTCATGCCATGTCTTCGTAACACAGTGCTGCGAAACGGTGATTAAAGTCCTCTAAAACCACGCTGCTTTGTTGTCAACCTGGAAATGGTAGACTTTATCCTAGCCAGTCTTCCATAATCGTCCCTTCAAGCATCAGTCAAGTGAAAAGGATGCCTCATTGTCGAATCGGATTTGCAAGGCATTTCTAACCCGGGCCAAGTTCCTTTGATTGGCGGATTCCAGGTTGGGCGCAACAAAAAGTTGGTCAAGGTAACCACGCTGTGGATCATAGCCCTTCACATGAAACTTGCGGGATATCTGAGGTGGCAGCATTCGTCGGGACATTGACAGCAAAAGGTTGAGGAACATGCCAGCATTGTAGAATCTCATCGACTGAACATGGACGGGATAAATGCTTTCCAGTTCTGTAATCATTTTTGTACAGCTAATGTTGAACATATCCTTGTCCTTCCAATCATAGTCTGAGCATTCAAACAAGTAAGTTACACCATTTCTGATTGCCTCAAAGTCAGGCTGCTGGGCAACATACAGCATCCAAGCTGTTCCAACCCATGAAGTCAATTTTTCTCTATCTTGCAAGACATTCCTTCCAAACTTTCTCATATCAATGGCAACCACATACGACCCTCCTGCCTGATGGTAGCTGAAGGACATATAATGACCAGGAACTACATCCTGGAACGTCCTGGTCACCAAATTGCAGATTGCATCATAGGAAGTGGGGATCTTGTGGTCTTTCTGGTACTCTTGAATCCTTCCAATGCGCTCCAACGCAGTGGCCAGATTTGCCTCTGTTGGATCTTCAGTGACCAATGGCAATTGGGCATACATAAAATCTGACATCGTATCAATGTCCGGAATTTGGGCAGCTGCGGCCTTGATTTCTCTTGCCCATTCCCTTTCTTCGTCAGATAACATCATTCGACCTTCATCATAGGCTCCCAGAAGCCGCACTGGCGGATCAGGATCATCTTCAACTCCTCCCTCGGATTCTTCTTCGTCTTCTTCTTCGTCAGTCGTCGTCTTCGCTGCCATCGTCATTCCCGTATGGCAATCGTTCTGATGCTGCTCCCAACAGCTCCAAATTGCCAGCCTCGTCTTGATGAAGCTGCTCCATTTCTGTTCTGTCTACCTCCCAACAACTGTTTATCTACGGTTTGCGTGTGGCGAAAGATAGCTTCCAAGCAATTTTGCAAGAGTAATAGTCGCTGTGTCTTCCAAGATAAAGTCCCTGAAGTAGTAGTGAAATGAACAGTGCACTAGCTAGATTCCAGCTGTGAAAAGCCCATGTTCCGTTTGCTTCGTGGTGCTACGTCAGGGATCCGTCATGTTCGAAAGTGATGGTGATGTCCAAAGTGTGACTGCTGACTAGTGTCCAGCCTCCTAGCTGCTTTATTTAAAGCAGTGCGCTTTAATTAAAGCGGAAAATCTAGCCCGCACTATATCTCGTGTTAGTAGCTAGATAAAGAAGATAACGGGCTGGCTGAATAAAGCTCTCTTTATTTAATCGTTGAGCCAATATTGGCTGCCAAAGAGTGTCGATTCGTATGTGACTATTGGCTTGGCAGGAGCGAGAAATCCGATGAAACGCGATGGATTTTTTTTCATTTTCTTTCGTTCCGAAACTCCACGATGATGGATCTGCCGCTGTTTTTGGACCATTCTGCCACTCGAGAGCACTGCAAATCATGGCAGCAATGGAAGATACACGCAAGAAGGTGGGAGGCAAGTGCTGGGCTCAAGCAGAGAGGGTATCCAAGGAATGCAAGAGGATCTTTGGAGCTGCGCTGTCAGACACTTGGTTGGAAGGAATCGTCATCAAGGTCGATCAACGTTTGTCCAATCCAAGTGCCAAGAGAGCTACTACCTACATCACCGCATTGTACAAGCTTGGAGAGAGGGATGGCATTGCCATTGAGAAAGAGAAAGAGTTGACAATGCAGAGTTTGAAGGCAGCAAATCCGAAAGCACCAACTGAGAACAACAACAACAACAACAACAACGACGACCCAGTAATCGGACTCTTCCTTCCAACCCACCACCCAATGACAACAACGGAGAAGAAGAGCCCAGGCCTCCTGCCACGAGTACTGGTACTGGTACTGGTACTGGTACTGGCTCAGCCACTGGTGAAGTGACAACGTTGAAGGTTCTTCCCCTGAAAATCCGGAACAACAGCCCGTCTAAGAAGCCCCATATGACCAACCACTAGGATCCCAGTACCAAGGTGATATCAATTCTATTGTTTAGTCAACGATTTTGGATGCACGTAAGATTCAGGGCTTGTTGGTCCTGAAAAGTTTACCACGTACTGTACCGGAACACTGTGCATGGAAGTGGCATTGGAGAGTACTGCTTTTCCACACTAAAAAATTCAAAAAGATTTCCCAAAACAGGCCCGCTCACCATTCTTGCTGCCACTTCCTGCCACCACCATCACAATGAACGCGGACAAAACAACATGAAAATGGTGGATAGGCCGATCGCTACCTGGTACGATACCTGTCTACTTTACGATAAGGTAAGCATATCAAGTGTGTATTATTGAAGGCGCAGCACTAACTTCTCTCCCTCATTGAATTCTTATGGCAAACAGGAGAGAAATTCAAGCTTGGCCGACAAGAGTGGTATACGTATCGGTAGGAGGAGTGCTTTATCCAATCGCCCGATCGATCGAACGGATCGCAATGAAATAAAGCCTGATTGTCAATGCCTGTTTATTGAAGAACAGCGGCGACTTCCTGTCCTCATTGATTTCTATTGTTCAGGAGAGGAATTCCAAGCCGGCCGTCAACATGAGTTGTTTTAATTTTCGATCGAATCGGTTCGCACCTCTATTATCCAAGCTGCTCACTCAAGCCGTCCTTCTCCGTTGTAGATTCGAAAGCCATCCTCATTGAATCCTATGGACCATGGATGGCAGTCAGTTCTCAGCCCATGACGGCCAAGTTAGTGCAATTTGAAAACAATGGTAAGTCTCCAGTCGTCTGCAGTTGAGCACAGAAAGCAAACCTCATGTCTATTTGTTGTTTTCTGTGCTGCTATGCTGATGGCCGCATGAATTAACCATTGTCGAGATCGACGGCCTGGATAAACAGCGAGAGGAGAAGGGCTACCGCTACGGAGAGGAAGACTCTGTTAACTCCAACCCTACCAACAGCATGCAAACGTCGTCGAGTCATTGAAACGCAACAAGAGGAGGGAGGCTACACGAAAACTCGAAACGCACAGAGAAGAGTGGATCCTACTACTGGATTCACACCTCCAGTGTTATTTCCTACTGTTTTGGGTGTGATTCCTGTGTCGGTACCCAATTTCCTGTATGCACCAAGTCAGTTTAGAGGATTTGGCTAAGTCAACGACGACTTGGTGGTTTGGTACCATAAGATAGATTAACTAGCTAGCTAGAACATCGATTACCAACCAGATAGACCACACGATTTCATTAGATATTGACCTTACTAGTATAAGCAATAGGCCATGATTCCAGCTCTCTTCTTTCCTTGATATCCTACCCTGGCCCCACAGAACTGGACCAGAAGGTCCATATTTTGACCTTCCTCAAGATCTTGTGTAAGATGAGACCAAGTCTCCAGCATTTTTTGACCTACTGCTGTTTGCCCCTGATCTTGACCAAAGGTCATATCAGGCCTCTTAGACGCCCCCTACTCGCACTCCAGTTTCATCCAACCACGGCTACGACTGGTACACCGACCGACCAACCGATGTCCCAACCAATGGGCCTGTTCCCCTCCGCATGTGGAAGATGACCTGTCAGTACACCGGAGTGGAGTTTACGCCTGGTTGTGATGACAAAGGTTTGGATTGCTGGGACAAGAAAGTGTCCAACCAACTCGGTTTCTCCTACTCACCCTATGATTTCTTTATGGCCAGCTTCCCCAAAGATCAACTCAAGTACATGGTTGAAGCTACAAACAAGAAGCTCAGGGCTGCGAGTCCTCCACAGCCGACTACCAGTTTGGGGGAGGTTCTCAAATGGTTGGGCATTACTATTCTGGCTACGCGCTTTGAATTTGGTGAACGTGGATCTCTCTGGGTTGAGAAGTCATTGCGCAAGTACATCCCTGCTCCAAACTTTGGGAAGAAAGGCATGTCTCGTGACAGATACGACGTGCTCCACCGCTGGATGACCTGGAGCGAACAACCTGATGGCCGTCCTGAATTCATGAGTCATCAAGAGTACCGGTGGTGTCTTGTTCAAGATCATGTCGATCGCTTCAACGCTCACCGAAAGACATGGTATCAACCTTCAAGCAGGATCTGTGTGGATGAATCCATGAGCCGTTGGTATGGATTAGGAGGAACATGGATTAATGCTGGCGTGCCTCACTACATGGCAATTGATCGCAAGCCAGAAGATGGTTGCGAGATCCAGAACTCTGCTGATGTGGAATCATGCTCCGACTCAAGCTTGTCAAGGCCACCGAAACGGATCAAGATACACGCGAACAGGATGCACAACAGCGAGAGAACAATGGGTACGTTGCCTTTCTACTCATGACTTTGTTTGTTATTTTATCTTACACGATGGTTGTCTCCTTCTTTTTGATCCCGCAGATACACCCACGGGTGCAACATCCTCTATGAGTTGGTCAAGCCGTGGGCTAATACCAACAGCGTTGTTGTCGCCGACTCCTACTTTGCATCTGTCCAGGCTGCACTGCGTCTTAAGTCCATTGGTCTCAGGTTTATTGGTGTCGTCAAGACTGCAACCAAGTGTTACCCGATGGGATACCTTGGTAGATACGTTCTTCCAGGCGGCAGAGGAGATCGCCATGCTGTAATCTGTCGAGATGAAGCAACTGGCACTGATCTTCTTGCCTTTGTGTGGGTGGATAGGGACCGTCGGTACTTCATTTCAACGTGCAGCTCTGTCGCCAATGGCCCTCCTTGTATGCGTTGGCGATGGAGGCAAGTTGACCAAACTCCGAACGCTGAGCCACAGAAGGTTCAAATCATTGTGCAACAGCCTGAGGCCTGTAATATCTACTACTCCTCCTGTGGGAGTATTGATCAGCACAACAGAACCAGGCAGCAAAGCGTCATGCTGGAGAAGAAGATTCAAACCAAGACGTGGGATCGGCGAGTCAACATGTCGTTGTTCTCCATGGCCGTTGTGGATTCTTACAATTTGGCGAAGGCCTGCCAAGGAAAATGGTGGACGCCTCGCAACTACCTTGAAGTCTTGTCGGAACAACTCATTGACAACACCTTTGAGTCAATTGCTCTTAGGAGGAGAGCCCAAAGAGCTGACAATGACATTGGTCGTCCATTGTCCAATGCACGTGTTGTTGTTCCGGCAAAGTACCATCTCATCTCTTCCACTCCAACCAAGCGACGCAAGAAGGGCCATCCCACGTGGAAGGAGCAAGGCCACTGTGTTGTCTGCGACATGAATACCACACACGTCTGTCGTCCTTGCCAGGAGCGCTATCCAAGGCTCAAGGACAAACAGTTCTGGATCTGCTGCAAGGAAGGAAAGGCTTGCATGGGTATCCACATCCTCGAGAAGCATGAAGAAAAGGTTGATCCTGCGTTCAAGCGCAACTGAGTTGTCGCATGCCTGGTTGTTGGCCACTTCGAGTGGGCCTGTTAGTTGGTTTGTTATATGGTACGTTGCTTTGAATCCTTCTATATACACAGGTATCCGTTGCTCATGTACTTGTTGTTTGTTGTTTCGAAAAGTGAGAAATCCCCGTTGATCCTACTGGATCATAGTAGTGAAAGCAGCGGTTGCTTTACTTAAAGATGAGAATTCGAATTTGATCTACCACTGCCCCTTCATTTTCTACGTATTATAGTACTCTCACCTGTTCTCTTCTTTACATAAAGCAACGGTCACTTTAAATGAAGCGGAGAAGCAGGAGACGGGACACTAGTCTTTGTGGAAACTCGCCATCAAAGACATGCCACCGGTACTGGTACAGTTGTTCCCTGCAAGATTGTCCATTAGCTTTGCCAACTAAAAAAAAAAAGTGCAGCAAAAAATCGCTCCTTCTCCCAAAACACTCAAAGACAAAATCTACCATTAAGAAAACTCATGCCTGTTTGTGTCTGCTATAGTCAACCAACCGATACAACCAGCATACTGTTGGGACCCTTACTATCACAGGAGACACCTGCAGCCGAAGACAGGAGCAGCAGAAGCCTTGTACAGCCAGAGAGAGTCAAAAGCTGAATTGAGATGAATGGAATTTGGCTCCATTTTGCCATTTAATTCAAGCTGTGGCCGTTTGTACCACAGACAAGCTTCCTTCCATGGCAACCAAGACATGGATCTCTTCTCTACTACCATAGAAGACATCTGCAGCTGAAGGTTGGAGCAGCAGGGACCGATTACAGCCAGAGAGAGGAGTCAATAGCTGAAGTAGTGTTTCTTTCAATTCTACACAACAATGGCCACCAAATGAATGATCGTTCAAGGGGCTGCTGGTGATGATGGCCAAGGAATTACTAGTGAGTCAACTGAAGCATGAAGCAACGAGTGGCTGTTGACCGAAGCACGAGGCGATGATCAGTCGACCGAAGCACTAGACGACAATCAAGTCGACCGAAGCATGCAGCACCACAACTCGCTACGGTTATGATCGATCGGCCGACACTATGAATGAGCGGTAGGTTCCAAGCGACTATCAGGGATGTTTAGAGGAGTGTTGAAGCCTTCTATACCAACAAAAGGAAGTCAATTTGGTCAAGAAATGATGGAGATTCATCCATCGGCAGATAGGAGTGATTTTCGAGGACTATTTCGTACCGGTATAGCAAGAGTGTGCATTTGTGTTGAAGAGGTGCTTCTGTGGGAGTTTCTAGCTTCACTATCAGAGCGATTGAAATAGGCTCGTAGAGAGGAGAGATGCAAGTAGCATCCTTCTTCGGGTCCCACCTGTCCCTACATGTACTAGTACCTTTGTTGCTTCATCATTGGCGGTTCTGTGGTTCCTCTTCTGGTACAAGTGAAGGCCTTCGCAGAAGTACTCCTGAGGGAGAATCATGCTGGTTGGCTACTACTACTATTATAAAAGGATAGCGGGCAGGCAAGAGAGGTCAGTTCTCATGGATGAGGAAGATTAATTCTGCTTGTGATAGTCGTAGTGCTTCCTTGGGCTTGGCCTCTCTTGTGTTTGACAGTCCTGGAGCGCAGCAACAATTGTAACGAAAGATACCATTGATCGAATTGATCTCTCCTCTATTAGTCTTTTTCAATGGCTCTGATAGTGAGGCTAGGAACTCCCACAGAAGACCTGCCAATATAAGCTTTTCGTTGTAATATGAAACTGTTCTTTTGCAGTGTTCTTTTGAACAATTGTTCCCCTATGCCGATGGATGAATCTCCACGAATAACAGACAGATGACGCTTGTTCTTGTTGGTATAGAGAGCTCTTATCATATAGTATTCAGCCCTGTAAACCTTGATGGGGCTACCACTCTTTTATTGCGTCGGCCGATGATGCGTTTCTTTGGTGGCCATTGTGGTGGAATCACCAGAAAACAGTATTTCAGCTATGGACTCTCTCTGGCTCTAATTGTCTCCTGCTGCCCGAACCTTCAGCTGAAGATGTCTTCTATGATAGTAGAGAAGAGTTCCCTGGCTTGGTTGCCTTGGGAGAGCCTTGTCTGTGGCACAAATGCCCACAGTTTGAAATGGCAAAGAAGAAGAGGTGAATCAAGTAGAGTCTATTTCAGCTATTGACTCTCTCTGGCTGTAGACAGTCCCTTCTGCTCCAACCTTCAGTTGCACATGCCTTCTATGGTAGTAGAGAAGAGATCCCTGGCTTGGTTGCTCTGGCAAAGACCGTGTGTGGCACACACAAGAGCTGAGACGGTAATGTAATATGGATTGATGGAATGAAGACACGACGATTTTTGCTGCATTTTTTTTTAGGTTGCAGAGCTAATGGACAATCCTGACGCAAACAACTGTACCACCTAGCCGGAAGCCAGCGGGTGGTTGAAGGTGGCTGTTCGCAGGCGGCGGAAGGTGGTTGAACGCGCCAATAAACAGATGGAAACAGGGGTACCGGTAGAATTTCTCACGGGGGTTTGCTACTACTAGTAGTACGTACAGCGTAATTATTTTAATATTAGAATAAGCAGCCGGAGGCTGATGCCCTCAACTGTCAAAAAGAGATGGCCAAATCCTTTACCCATGTTTCACTGGACACACTAGCCAGCTAGCAAGTCTCAATAGCCAGCCAAGTAAGTTTAGGTACCCATGAGTCCAAACTACTGTGTCCAACAGAACACCCCATGGAGCGATAAACATCCAAATGGTAGATTCGTCGTAGATTAACTCCTAGTAGTGTCTACACACATCTCACACAACATCACACATCTCACACAACACTCAACGTACACACACCTACACACACACACACACACACATCCAGCCCATCGAGGTATTGGATTTATGGTTTAGTTTAGCTTGGTTTCGGTCTATACCGTACCAGCTGCTATGTGTTTATTTTCGAAATCACCACAAACAGGGTACCCTTGCTTTTCTCACAGCCTACCCAGCTTGTATCATTTGCCATCCCCAGCTTGCTCCACTGATGAAGCAAACAGCGAAATTCTTAAGCTCGGAATTTGGAAATCAGCAAGCAACGGTATACCCCATGGATAAACATCCAATGGTAGATTCGTCGTAGATTAACTCTAGTAGTATCTACACACATCTCACACAACATCACACATCTCACACAACACTCACGTACACACACCTACACACACACAATGGTAGATTCGTCGTAGATTAACTCTAGTAGTGTCTACACACATCTCACACAACATCACACATCTCACACAACACTCAACGTACACACACCTACACACACACACACACACACCTACACACACACACACCTACACACACACACATCCAGCCCATCGAGGTATTGGATTTACGGTTTAGTTTAGCTTGGTTTCGGTCTATACCGTACCAGCTCCTATGTGTCTATTTTTGAAATCACCACAAACAGGGTACCCTTGCTTTTCTCACAGCCTACCCGGCTTGTATCTTTTGCCATCCCTAGCTTACTCCACTGATGAAGCAAACAGCGAAATTCTTAAGCTCAGAATTTGGAAATCAGCAAGCAACGGTATACCCCATGGATAAACATCCAATGGTAGATTCGTCGTAGATTAACTCTTAGTAGTGTCTACACACATCTCACACAACATCACACATCTCACACAGCACTCACGTACACACACCTACACACACACACACAGGGATAAAAGTGTGAAAGACCCTCAGTCGGTTGAGGGCAAAGTGTGAAAGACCCTCAGTCGGTTGAGGGCAAGAGCAGGAAAATTATCGGAAGCCAGCCGGGGTACTAGTAGAATTTGGTGAACGAGTGTACGAGGCACCAGCAACATCCGGAAACGGCCTCGTAGTTTAACGACTTGTGAAACTAGTTTCAATTTCACGTTTTTAGTTTCACATTTCCGTGAAACTAGTGTTTTAGTTTCACAGGTGTGAAACTTCACCAATTTGTCAATATTCGCCGTAGAAAACCACACACTACTAGTTTCACACCTGTGAAACTAGTTTCACGTTTTTCCTTGAAACTAGTTTCAATTTCACACTTGTGAAACTAGTTTCACAACTCGTGAAACTGTCAAAATCAAATGAAGTGATGTTTCCGGGGTGACGGGGGAATTACTATGATGGAACCCCTGTGCAAGTCCAGACTCAGCCCGTAAGGTTTCAATAGAAGCTTTGTAGCTTGCATGTCTAACAAAAAATATATAAGCTATCTGTTATTGGGGCTATAATAATGCTAGTCTATGCTTGTCCACAAAGTAGTCTACATATGGTGAGAAGTGCCATGATGGAGCCGGTCGAGAAGCGCTACATGCAGTACCTCGCTACCCAACGTTATCATATCAGGGGAGCGCGGTGGGCGTGTGGACAAGGTGATGATGGCTTAATTCTTCGGTGACTGGCTTATCTTGGCTTATCTAGGCTTATCTAAGCCAAGCTTGTCTAAGAAAGGCTAAGCTTATCTAAGCTAAGCTAGTCTAAGCTAAGGAGATGCTTTACTATAACAAATTTAGTACTTTTTAACCCTGTAGATTAGCTTAGATAAGAATAGATTGGCTTAGCTAAGAGTAGCTTATGCAAGCCAAGCATAGACTACTAGTACAGTTACAGTGCTCAATACGGTGGCACCGCTAATATGCCCGGAACGGGACCTCGTTACGAAACGTTGCTATTGTGGACTTCTTGCGGACAGCAATGACACAGGCAACAGCAGTGAAGGGAGAGCACTGGTAGGGCCAACAAGATTAGCCAAAACTAGAGCTTTAGCACACTGAGTGGAATAGTTTGGTTCTATGGCTCTTGGCAGTTAGCCACTGCCACGGATTACTACGGAGCCAATGTCTTGTCTATTCTGCCTTGAGCTTCTGCTCGAGTAATTCCCCCGTCACCCGGACCTTGCAGAGGTACGGTACGGTACCCAAAGCTTGTTGGAGTGAAGGAGGATGTTATCAGTACAGCATTCAGCTACGGTAGCTACCAGGTCCCTGTACTCTGAGTAATCAGAAGCGAAGGTGGGAAATGGGCGCTTGCTGCTTGTTGCATGGATGCTGTGTTCTTGTTCGGAATCCATGCCTCACAACCATGAAAAGGAGCCCAGCTAGCTACGGTACTATGGTAGTCCTCTAAGGAAGCCGGCAGGGGGGGGGCAGTGTTAGGAGAAGATGGCTGCCTGACTAGCTACCTGATAGCTACCTCAATGCACTTGTCTGCTTCGTAGACAGTACATTCAGCAGGTTCGTTCCCTATACCGGTAATTGGTAGGCCGACATCTAACGGGTACTCTACTATGCATAGCTGGCCAGCAAGTACAGTAGCAGCTAGCTAGCTAGAGAGAGCTACCAGTACCGAAGCTCAAAGCTCGTCCCATCATTCCAAGGCCAACTCTCAAGTTTCTACGGGCGCTGAGCCTTGGCCTCAAATAATTACAGTGATGTGGTCATTGGCATTGGTTCCGGATGACTCAAGGCGCCAAAATACTTGCTCGGGACTGGCATCTCGCACGCCTCAAAAAACGAAACAACACACAAACAACCACAACCCACACCGACAACACAAATTGAAGAGAGTGCTCGGTAAGTAACAGTGGGGATTGTGTGGAGCGAAAATGAAAAACTGAGGAGTCCTTGAAAACTTTCGCGGTTGCGTATGGAGCGGTACTGTACCAATTTTTCTGAGACGTGATGAGATCCCAGGTCAACTTTCCACCTCTCATTTTTCTTTTTTCGGTGTTATGTGTTGTGTGATGGACTCCCATGGCTCTGGTCTCAAGAACCACATCAACGTCAGATAACAATTTACCTCTTGTCCAGTGCTGGAGGAACTATACTATACCAAGCAGAACAACATGTTTTCCCGATCCTTCTTGGCACTCGTGACAGCGCTGGTGTGGAGCCTTTTTCTTGTCTCCACTGCAACCGCCAAGCACGCCCCGAGCAGCCGCTGCAATGTCTACGATATATTGGAAGACTGCAAAGATCAAGTGTACAAAATTACCAAAAAAGGCAAAAAGTCATTGGGAGAATTAGACGATTATCTAATTGATGAGTGTCAGGGCATGAAAGGTATGATTGTTGCCAAGTGCATCATGAAGTACCTGTGCATCAATCATGGAGAAAAGGCTGTCCGGCGAGTGGATGATTGCGTTCGGGGAGTTTGTCCTTTGGCCAAGCATCTGCCTCCAAAGTTGTGTCACAAGAGACGGTTGGGAGGAAAAGCTTCGTTCATTGAAGACGTATTGGAAAAGTAACTCGGATCCAAGAGGACAAATTGCAGTGTGGGGATGTCAACCTGTCAGTCCACCTCTGTGAATTCAGCTTTCATAAATCAGTTGGCCGGTCAATCAATCAACAAGTCAATAATCAACACCCCAGCAGTTCACAATATCAATGTGCCAGCCACCCTCTGTTCGTTCAGTAATCAATTGGCTGTTTAAAAAGTTGTTGCGTTTGCACAAGGATAGTTCCAATCCACTGAAATTTAGCACCGGTAGTATCCCGGGTAGCATTAGATGGTCTGGCTAGAGAGCTGAACTTCCAATTCCACCATTCCAAAGTGCCATCAACTAACTTATCGATACTCGGTGAGCCGAAGCGTTGGCGTTTCTACTGAACCAACCATGTAGCTTGTGCCATATGTTGACAGGACGTGCATTCCACAAATGTTTCTTCGTAGCTAGCTAGACGTTGGAGGCAAGTCCGAGCAAATCTGTGAATGAATGAATGAAGCAGCTAGTAGTCTAATAAGTAGTAATTCAAATCATGGGTCACGGTTTGCGACCAAAGCTACTGGTATCACTCGGGAACTTATTATGAAGATCGAATGGTAGTGGCAATGATCAACCTGTTTTGTGGAATTGGGCTCGTCAGCCACTTATTCCCGACCCCCCACGTGTCAGTCCAGGGCTATCCACTCTATCCCTTGCTAGCTACGGCAGTAGCTAGCTGATAGAGCCAACGAAATGGATTCACTGTCATGTAAAACCAACTACTTGCAACAGCTTGAAGTACATGCAATCGATTAGTTAAAAGAATTGAGTTAAAGTAGAGATTAATGTTCTCGTACAATAGATAGTATGTAAGAAGAGCCATATGTAAGGTGTGGGGTAACACAAGTTCGGGAGGATATTGGTATACTGTTGTATGGCGCCCTGCCATCATGCGAGCCGAAACTTGAAGTATTTATGTGTATTGTGTGAGGTATTCGAGTACTCGTAGCCATAGAGCACTCCTGCAAAGCAAATTGAAAAACGGCTTGAAACAGTGATCTTCAAATGCGACTACCACTGCTCTGACGCGGGTTTTTTAAAAGAGTTGGTGACGGGCACGGTGCCTTCCGTGGTGGCGTCGTCTGTGGCATCGGACCTGGCGCATTATCTCCTCTTCTGTGCGTTTGGGCTTGGTTTGGGATGGCGGCGAAATTTTGGATACCTTATTATTACTGACGTCTGTACGCACTTTGGGGGCCTTTGATGGTGCGGAGCTACCAGAACTACTGCAAGAGTCTCTCGATAGGACTTCAATTTCAATGCCAGTCGCTTCGGCGGATAAGAGGCTGAGGAAGACCATCGTCGCCGCTGCACTTGCTCGTGATGAAGTATATTGACCAGCCAGAAGGTGAATGCTTCGCTTTTTTTGGTGGGCAAGATAGATTGTGTTTTGTGTGTTCGTGTTGGGTGGAGGGCGGAGGTTGGAGTGGAAAAGGCGGGAGAGCATTGTTTCCGGAGTTCTTCACGAACGGGTACCTGCAACGTTACCGGTACGGGAGTACTATTATTTTACCGTTATTTCAGCATCGCGAGAGCGCCATGGACGAAAATCACTAAATCCTTTTTGAAGCTTTCTACACACGACCGGATCAAGATTTATACCTGTAGGGCGCCAAAATTTGGTTCTGACCCACAGTCCCACTGACACGAACGTAATGCTGCTCTGCTGCCTTAATAGCTAGAACGCAGGTGCGGGAGTGTCCTTGCAGAAGGGGTTACCTACCAGCAAATGAGGCCCTGAGCACTGAGCACAGCCCGCCTGCATCCCATCTCAACTAATCTCCAGAGACCGAGCAACAGGTTGGCTGACTATGCTGCCACTCACCCAATCTTTGACCTGTGTGGGAAAGCTGGCTGTGGGACCGCCTTCAGTCACAGGGCTGATTGTAGTGAGTTGTAGGTAGTCTTAATTGTTTCATAGTTCAGTGTCCAGGTTCTCATGGAGCCTCTGCCTGGGATTGGGATCTCATGTTAGGCAAGCTTTACGGAACGGGCAAGGACCATTAACGCACAATACCGTGCACGATTGTTTGGCAAAGAGGCCGAAACAAGCGGCGAAGAGGGAGTATCCCTGCAGAAGACCAGAGCCAGCCAACAAGAGTCCTCTCATGGCCAGTCCTCGACGCCTTTCCTTCCTTTAAAAAATACTATATAGTCCTGTAGTTCCCGTTCTTTACCTCTTTAGAAGTGGGCCGCAACACTACCGGTATTGTGGGCTTATTTACCGGTACCACATCAGACCAACTCCACCAAGCGCCAAAGAAGAAGCCAAGCCTTGAGAATCCTTTTCTTCCTGTGAAGTACTTGCTGCTTTCATAACTCTTAGCACCGCAACCCAACTGTACATGTGATACCGGTACTATGGCTCCAGAGCGAGCAAGTCATATGAATCATTTAAGTTTTACAAGTACCGGTATATGAATCTATGACAGCACAGACCATTTTAGCTTCCTTCCGTGCATTTGTCATTACATTTGTGCATCTTTCTTCGTTCATGGCCAATCTTTGTTGTCCCTGAAATTGGCCAGTCTTCATTGTTTTCGTTCGGTTGTCATTCATTTCTCAGAACAACTGATGAGCACCTCGGCGACGTCCGTGTCGGCGGCGGCGGGAGCGGACCTGACGCGCAATCTCCTCTTCTGTTGGATGGGGCGATTGTGGAGCCATCGCTCTCTCTTCCTTTGGCTTCTTGTGTTTTCGGGTCTTGCCAGTGTCATTGTGACTGCTGGAAGAGGCCTGGGATAGGACCTCAATCTCCAACTCGGGCACGTCGTCCTCCACTCGGGGTACTGCACATCGGAGCGCTTTCAAAAGGTTCATGCTGCGTTGTTGATGGTTTCTTTGGCTTCTAGAAAACTTGTAGTTGTGTTGTCGACAGATTTTGTGAGAGCTTTTGTGAGAACTTTCGTGATGATGTTCCGTTGACGGTCACCAGCAAAGCTTTCATGCCGTTGTTTGTGAACGTTTAGCCCGGATGCAAGATTGCGAGGCGCCAGAAGCCAGCTGCGAACTATCAATCGTGCATGATTGGACTGGGAACATTTTGTGTCTGGCTGTCATCCGCAATGTATAAAATTTTGATTAGCTTTGGCAACCATGGCCAGACCGTGTCAGTCTAAAATGCTGATATCTTTTGGGAGAGCCACCAGCTCGGCTCAGCGCCCAGCCAAAGATTGTGCTGACATCCAGATGACACGAACATGACAAGGTGGGGTTGCATGCATGCTGGCTAGCAGCTAATAAAAATTGTGTTGGAGGAGCTGTTCAAGGTACAGCGATGTCCTCAGACCCCGCGAGACAGTCAGGCCAGCTGGAGCTACTCATCCAATGCCTGCTGCTTCCTCCATCCGCTCCCCAAAGATCGTCGACTATAGAGAGCTTGTTCGCAAAGGTTCATCTCACGCCGATCGTGCAAAGTGGCTCCTGATGTAGTGCCGTTGGGAGTGGTCGCCAATTTTCCCCCCAATTGCGTAGTTAGAGGTCCAGCCAGATAAATCGTAATCGACCTGATAGCGGTACCATGGAGCGAGCTTTCAACCATTGCTTGGCTGCATTGGAAGCCTCACGATGATGGAGCAATCCGAACCTCCTACGGGAGCCGTGACCAGTAGGATGGGATCATCATGATCTGAATTGGCTCGTGTTGGCGTTTGCAAGCTCTAGCCACCCTACCGGTAGCTCTGCCACCACGAGAATGCTTCTGCTCCTGTGTGGCACCTTTCAGCCACCAAGAAGGCGTCGTTCTTGCTTCACATTCGGATACCCCAAAGCAGCAGCTGACCACATCCGGATACCCCAGTTTCTCCTCACAATATGAATGGCTGCAACCTGTTCTCTGGCTGCCTGGCCTGCTGAACGAACTCAGGGAGCCAGCCGTCGCAACAATATAGCAGCATTGTTCACCCTTTACTACTAATAGCCTAGCCAACCAGCCCAAGGAGCAACTACGTTGGTGCTCTGGATGACACAGCCTGCTGCAACACTCGTTGCTTCTTTCTTCCTTGAAGTTGGTGTATGTTCCGGAAACTGGTCATCGTTACGACCGGATTCATTGTTCCAAAGTTCTCTTGATTGAAGCAATTCAATCATTTCATAGCTGCGTCCTGGCAGCAGGCACCATCCCTCTCGGTAGCATCTTGGGATGCCTGTACATTCCCTGCGACTGCCCTAACCGAGCTCTGCTCGGGCCTACTCGAGTCCTTCACCTATGCATAATAGGATGAAGCCGCATCGAGATTCGGTGTCAAGATCTGCCGGTACCGTACCATCGGTTTACGTTTGCAGTCTCGGTTAGATCTACTGGCCACAATGTATGTACTAATAGGCAAGAGCCGGTACTCAGAGTAGACCGTTAGCAGTAGCTACAGTAGGATAAAGGAGAAGCTGTTCAACTCCGACGATGAATCTGATGCTTCCGCCCCTTAGCAATTGGAGAAGCATATCCTTTGTTCTGATTGGTGGCGTGCTGCTCAGGATTCGTTCAAAAGTGTTCTGGATTCGATTCTGGATGGCAAAGGCCTTCTGGGAGCAGAAGGCCCCTCCATTGTCATTATCGGGCGCCATCACACTCACCCATCACATTTTCTTTGAAATCTTCACAACGGCCACCATGATGATTGCTTCCACCATTTCTCGTCGGCCACACCGCCGTCTTCATTCCGATCAGTCTCTTCTTCAGTGGCATCTCTCCTCTGCCACTGAGAATCTTTCGTTTCCCGTAAGTCACCCCACAGTCGTCCCTAAACATCATCGTCGAGGGATTTCCTTTGATTCTCGTTCGCAAAGACATTCAGTCATGGATTCTGTTAGCGCGGGGCGAGTGAGTGGATATTCAGGGTTAGAGTTTGCCTGTTCACAATTTCCTGCTGCCAACACGCACAACAACAACGCGTCAACACTGTTTCCGTCCCCAACGCCAATGGCAACCGGTAGCCTTACAGATACTACTAGTAATATCAACATGAGCAACACTCATCATGAGGCAATCAATAGCAATGCGATGAGCAACAGCCACATCCATGGCCGGATCGAATCTTGCATGCGCAATCCGGCTCTACTGCCAAATTTGGCATATGCCGACGACACCATCGCTAAATGGAAGTCTCCGAGGAGCCAGATGACGTGTTCGGATGATAGAGCCGCAACGGTCAAGTCCCGGCCTTTGAATTCGAAAAATTCGTCGAGGCGCAGCAGCGCGGCATTTGCAAAACCAGCGCAACGTCACAACATGAATGGTGGCAGCGGCAACATCGGTGGCAGTGGTGGCAGTGGCGACGATACGACAATGCTTGCCGGCACAACCAGTACCACTGTCCAACACCACTGCTGGCAAGCACCTGTATCCGTGGCCATGAGCATGGCGACAGTTGCTACTCAACCGCAGCCATCCTGCAAGGACACCCACAATGCTACCCTCGGCACGACCAATCCCATGCAGTCGTTGCTGGAGACGGTAGTGCATGCCGTCGAGAATGTCCAGGAACAACGTCGACGAGCATCATCGCGCAAACGAATCTCACAAACGTTATTGACTCTACGAGCGGCTGCCGAAGTGCATTATCAACAGCAGCAGCAATCGTTGGACGAAGATGAAGAGACACGAGAAGACTATAAAAGTGGCAGCTTTGACGACGAGCAAGACCAAGAACAACAACAACCGGATCATGACGACTTGGCTAGCTTGGGTTCTGCCTTGTTCTGCCCGTTGGATCCTGGACTCCTCAAGCACCATCATCATCGTCATTTGCATCGACAAGAAGAACTGCTAACCACAAATTCATCATCCTCTGACAGCAATGATGTTCAGGTACAACAACAACAACCCCAGATCCTGACGCGGCTTTCCTCGAGTCCGCTTGCCATTATTGATACCATGTCAATGGACGTTGAGGAGGAAGAGAAGAAACAAGAGGAAGTAGTCCCCGTGCAAATCCTCCCGGAACTTGGTTGTTTGGCCACCAATCCACGCCTTTTGAGCTACGCCATGTTTCAACAGCTCGTGACGGACGGTGTCCCGGAATGTCTACACATGAATGCATGGGAACGAGTATATTCCATTGGTCGCGATGGTGATTGCTTTCGAACCCTACTCGACAAGTGCGCTCCGTACCGACAATCCATTTTGGTGGTACAGACCACGTCGGGATATCTATTGGGAGGATTCGTTTCGGATGCTTGGCAAGAACAAGATGGATATCATCAACGTCACTCCTATTATGGAAATGGTGTATCCTTTCTCTTTGCATCGCATCCTGCTACCACTGGTGGTGTGACCACCAACAACAACAATCATGACGACAATGAGGACAAGCCACTGACCATTTATCCATGGACCGGATCCAACGACTTTTGTCAAATATGCGATCGGGAAAAGAGTGTCATTGCCATGGGTGGTGCCGGGGCGTTTGGATTTATACTCGAAGATGATTTCTTTCGAGGATCCACCGATACGTGCGGGACATTTGGTAATCCACCTCTGACGCTGGATAAAGATGGGATCTTTACCGTGGCGGCCATGGAAATCTATGGGTTGGTGCCGCTGTTTGCCAATCCGTATCATCACAGCAGTCCTCGATCGACCATTCTCAGTGGCATGACAATGTAATGTCGTAGGACTGCACTGCACTGCAAAACCGACAAGAACAACAACAATTTGCATTGCACGCGGTGTGCTATCGACCGGCGACGCTGCTATCTGCATCCTTCACGCCTAGATTCATCATTCGTGACCTATCCTTTGGCTTTGGCAAGCTAGTCCGCGAACAGGAGAACATTGGGCGGGGTTTTCCTGTTGCGTGGCTATTATCGCTATCCACATCTTCATGATCTCTTTATTCTTGGCTATACTCTGATTCATACAAGGGGGAGTGGTATATGAGAAGACGGACACACCCCAGTAGACATGTTTTTCATACAGTCTATAGACATCCACCTTATAAAGTTTAACAATCACCAATTACACTTATTAATTACACGGCCACTTGTTTTGTAAAGACGGCGCTCGTGTGGGCGAAAGCGGTCCCTTCCAGGCCGCGAACATACGATCTCAAATATTGGTTGCATCCTGCCGACACCAACGTCTTGGTCAACTCCCAGCGGGTGGGAGCGTCTTCCTCGGGAGCAACGACAAAGCTCACTTCAATATCCCAGTCAATGTAAACGTTGTACCAACGTTCCGGCTTTCCTGCTCCCCAGAGCGGGGCATTGCGAACGGAAAGGGCCATGCCGTGGAACTTGGAACCATATTCCGTCTTCAAATGGTTCACGTAAAAGCGCTTTGTCGCGTCCACCAACGCGTCATAGTCTCCAGCCGTTGGCTCCACTTTCAAGTTGTCCATTTGCTTGTCGCGAACCTGGTAAGCCGAAAAGATGTCATAGGAACGAACCGAAACAATCTGAGGCCCAACCGGCTTTGGAGGAGATGCTCTCGGCACGACGGCCTTCTTCTTGGGAGGCGTTGGCTTTTTCTTGGGGGGCGTTGGCTTTTCCTTCGGGGGCGAAGGCGACTTCCTCTCAGGTATCTTTTCGACTGGCTTTTCGGGTATCTCTGGTTCTTTCTTTGGCGGGGGTGGGGCTGCCTTCGGCTCCGGCTCGGGCTCAACCACGGGTTCGACCTCCTTCTTCTCCTCGAAGATCGATCCACCAAACGCAACATCCGTGGGGGGCTTTTCCACAGCACGACCCATGGTCGCCTCGGCAGACTGCCTCCATACATCGGACTCCAACTTTTTGATGGCGTCAAACAAGGGTCCAACGTTCCCCTGTGTGATCTTGGACAGGATCTTGAACTCACCAGGCGCCGGATCATAAAACTGGAGGTTGACTTGGTACTGATGCAGCATGTTGAATCTGGGCAAGGGACAGCCCTTTTCAAACTCTGGGTCTTTATCAACAATCTCCAAACCGAGGAAGCGTCCTCGGAAAGCGCGCTTCAAGACCCTGGTGAAGAACTTGGTGATGCAACCGTCGAACATTTCGAGCTCGCAATCTTCGGGCATGGTGCTCAAAGTCCGCACAACCAGGGCAACGAAAAATTCGAGGCGGACATTGACGACATCAGGCTCTTCCTCCCCGTCTCCTCCGCCACCGGCGCCTTCGCCGTCCTCGGCCTCGTCTTCTTCGGGTTCGGGACCCTCGGTAAAGATGCAAAGGCGCAACACCATGGTCGTGAGGGTCATGAAGGAATCGCCGACTCGCTGAACCCCTTGGAGGTATTCAGCATTGACGAGTCTCCCCAACCCTTGGAAAAGCTCGTTTGGACTTGGGGTGTTTTGTGAGAACTTGGCAGTGGCCTCAAATTGCACGTATAGATTATACTGCGGCTCTGGCTTGCCAGCACTCTCATTGATCTCGGTCTTGACAATCGAAAGCGACAATTCGTCAAAGTCTGTATCGTACTGTTTCCTCAACTGTCGGGTGGCTTCTTCCTGTGTGAGCTGAAGGAAACTTTCCTTTTCTTGAGACGACGGATTCGCACTTGGTTTCCGAGAGCAGACAAAAGCCATGTAAAAAGCGGGCGCCTTCACACTTCCACCAGCTGTGGGCCTCTTCAAACGGCGTGCTTGTACCTCCACCGCAGACGCGAACGGCGAACCTTCCAACCGGCGGACCGACCTCAACAAAAAGTCCCGATCAAAGGTCCCAAGGAGAGTTTCGAGGATGCCCTGCGCTTTTGGCTGCGTTCCCGAGCAGGAGATGGTTGCTTCGGCCTCCACAAACACTTGAAACTTTGGATCTGGTTTCTTGGTTCCGAATTCTGTGGCAAGGAACTTCAGATCGACTTTGCCAATGTTGGAGTATGCCGCAGAGAGCCGCTCAAGGAGGTGTTTGCAGGTAGCTAATCGCAGGTTTTCGTATTCAGCGGGGCTGGGCTCTCCCCCTTCGGAGAGGACCAGGGCGATGTAGAACTCGGGAATAGTGACCTGCATTATTTTTGTTGTTTGGGTGATTGATTTTATGCTTTCGAGATTGCTTTTTCGCTCTCGAGATTGTTTTTTTTATGATGATGTTGGCCTTCTTCTGACAATCCAAACTTGGGTAACCCCAACTGGTTTCTTCAAACCCCAAAACTTTCCACTCCCGTGTCGTCACGTGGAGTACTAAAATGCTTATAGTAAGTTTCATAAACACGTCTAAAAGTGCCGCGACCTCGATCTTGCTACGGTCAGCTTCGACTGGTGGCTGCATGGTGGGTTGTCACTCGACTGAGTATTTCAGTCGGTCGGCACTGCAACGAGCCTAAGAGACTTCTAGTGGTGCGCTGAAAAGTGTGGTTGCCTCATTTCGCCTTTGGTCTTTGATATGACATCTTCAAAGTTCTTGCGAGAGTGTTTTGTGATTGCATATATTGCTCCGTTCCTTCTTGCGGGTTGCTTTGTGGCAGGAGGAGTTGATGTGGTTCCTCTTTTGATTCACCATTCACAAGCGAGCAAAGTGGTCTTGGATGCTTCCTTTTCTTCCGACCAAGAAACACCACCACAAATAGACTTTGTGTTGTCATCTTTGTCATAGTAATCACCCAATTGATATCTTGTCATGCTGGAAATGCTTTCGTGTCATTCGGGTGGTGCAGGGACGTTATCTCCACGGTGCTTTGGAATGGGCACCTTCCTCTTGCAACGAACCTGCGGCTAATACAACAGGCATAACGGTAGGGGCACCGAGCTTTCCAGTATGACACAGAGAAAGCCAATGCAATAATGCATTGAAATGGTGTCTATGCATGTTACGAGTATGCTACTGCGCGCTGGTGAGAAAGCTGCTCTTTGACACTACTATTAGGTACTCAATACACTGAAGGATGAAGACTGTGGTCGTACTGTGGTCGAACATGTATATAGACTTGCCGGAATCATCTGCTGACTTGGTTCACTCAGGGGCGTAGGGGGGACGTTCGTTGCATGCACACGCTTGTACCTTGTTGTTCTCCAATAAAGCACCTTCCAGATCATTGCTTCTACAACCTGCAGCAACAGTTCAGGCTCCAATTCTAGGTGGGCTGCGGCATCCTTGCTGCCCTCTTCGTATCTCGCTTTGTGTTTGGAGCGCTGGTTTTGTGGCCTGGCTTGAAGTCGCACACAGGAACTTCGTCAACGGGATTGCTGCACAAATTCTCCTTGCGAAGCAAACTCCAACGAAAACCGAGAACTGAAAGGGCAGCAAAAGCAGCAACTAAAAGGAATCTCCAAGGGGCGCCCGCGGCCTGTGTTTCCATGTAAGGAGTTCCTCCGAAAAGCGTCGTCTCAAGGCGTGCATTCGCCGCCAAAAGCGTATCTCTTGGCTTCGTTTCTACTCGAGCAAAGTGGCGTTGCATCATTGTCATTTGCTTCAAGCAGTCGTCGAGCAAAACAAGGACGCTTGGATGGGCAAGCGGAACTCCCAGAAAGGATGCGGGCGGTGTCCAATTCCACCCCGGAAAGGGATGCTCCGCCAAAGGTTCAATGGTCACCAGGCCCAACGTAGGGTCCTGGAATATGTCGTGGATCTTGGATCGAATCGAGTCAACGTTATCAGTACCCCAATAACTATTAGCGGCGTTCCATGACTTTGCATCCTTGTTCTTGATATGATACGTTGTGGAATTCAGGAAGTTTGACCTGGTTATGGACTGCACATAGCCATCGATACTCACGTTGTTGTTTTTGAAGGTGACACCATCGATTCTTCCAATGTCGCAGCAATCACTCACAGCCGCCACCACCGATCCGAAAAAAACTGAATCCGTAATCCCAATGGGGCCACCAGCTACGCCGATCTGATTTTCAATGAAGAGCGAAGAAGATACTTTCGTGTTTTCAGGGGTTCTATCATAAGCGGCGCCAACAGCAACTTTGTTGTGTGCAAAAACGTTGCTTGAGATGTCGAAGTGTGCTGTATGGCTATAAACGTTGCAAAACACGGCTGTCCCTTTGGCCTTTGAAAAGAGACACTTTTGAACGACCGCGCTGTACGTTTCGTCGAGTTTAAGAAAGAAATCACTGGAATCCAGGAAGATGCAATTCTGAGCATTGATGGAACCACCCAAGAGATCAACGGAAGTATCATGACCCACGAAAACAGAATCTCTTACGGTGAGTGGAGACCTCAAGCCTTTCACAGCTATTGAGTTGTTGACGAATACACTGTCGGTCACGTTCACCATGCCAGCGTCATGGGCGTCGACGCAGGCTGTCATGTTGGTGCAAAATAAGTGGGAGATTTGGGCGGTGCTCTCGGCAGGGCGGGTGCCAGCAGGAAGAAAGCCAACTCCAACGCTGGTTTTGTCGCCAACAAACTTAACGTTGGAAATCACAATCTTTGCAGATGCCTGAAGGTAAATGGCTGTTTTCTCGCCCCCAAACGCAACAACCACTGGCGAAAGGGGGGTGCCCTGAATGGTAAGAGTCACATCGGGGAAAACCACAGCACCCGCTTGCGTTAAGTCGTAATAGGGGTCTGTCCAAGTTGTGTCCTTTTGAATCACATGATGATTGCTCATGGTTTCCGCCTTAAAAATATCGACACTGTATTGTGATCCGATTTATCTCTGCCTCTTACTCGGTATCAGACTGCCGCACCACTCCTATCAAATATGCTTTCCTGGAGCTTTTCCTGGTTGGTTGGAGGCGAAGGTTGATAATAGCGGATGCAATCATATCACACACAGAACGAAGATTGCCACATCGACCCTCAACATGCTTGCCTATCTGGTAGTAGTAGAGTGACAGTGAGACGTGAAAAAGATTGACAGTGAGACGTGACATGCTACAGTCGTACAGTCCAGACTCCAGACTCAAAGAACAAGCAGCCGGAGGCTGATGCCCTCAACTGTCAAAAAGAGATTTGATTGGTCAAATCATTTACCGTGTTCAACTGGACACACTATTGATAGCAAGTCTCCA